GCATTCCAGTCGGAAGAAACAGCATGAGCGAAGGCACAGAGGCATGAAACTGCATGTTCTGCAGGGTGGGGAAATCTTATTAGTCTGGTGGTATTGCTAGATGGGGTACCAGAGGCTGTGGCTGGAAGGGGTGACAGAGGCCAGATCATGAGGGGAAACGAAGAGCAGGGGGCATCTTGGTCACCAGAGGTGAGTTGAGTCCAAGGGAAGGTTTTGACACAGGAGAAGGCTCCTGGCTGACTCGAGGTGTGCCTGCCAGAGGACCCCAGGATTCCTCACACTGGCCCCATAGAGACTTGGATCTGGATCGGAGGCCAGAGGAGAGGCAGAGTGGGAGGAGAGGGGAGCAGAGGGAGGGGCCCAGGCCTGGGCCTGGAAGCTGCCACTCACTTCTGATTTCTGCACGCTGCTGTGCAGAGCCCCCCTCCCAGCCAGAATGGGGCTGAGGATCAAATGGGAAGTCACGTGGGAATGTCTGGCAAACTGCCAAGGACGAGATGACTGTCAGGGGGAAAAAATAAACTTTTCAACTGAAAGAGGAGAGGTTGAGAATAAAGCAAGAGAGATTAAGTGAGATGGAGGAAGGCAGGCAAAAGATCCCAAGGATAAGGGACAAAATGAAAAACCACATGACCGGGGTGAACCCTGGCTCTCTCTCCCCTGAGAAGGAAGGCCCTTCTGGCTCAGTCAGGGGCAGAGGCCAGCAGGCGGGACCCGGCCAGATGAGGGGGGAGAGTGGAGAGCGAGTGACCTGCTGCTGCACATCCCAGCCTCCAGTCACCTCAGCCTGTGGTGGGGGTTTCCTTGGCAACCAGGACCCTCCCTCTCCAAGCTCTGGGGGAGCCACTGAGGCCCAGATTGGCCAGCCACCAGCCAGCCGTACAGCCCTTTCAGTGATCTGAGGAATGGCTCTGTCTGAAAAACGCCTTGGCAGGGCAGGGGAGGGGTGGAGTGGGCGGGCCTGGGGGGAGAGCAGTCTCAGTACACCAGAGGCTGGGTGCACCTCCGGATGGCCACCTTTCCAAGGCACTACACCTTAGGCCACCTTGGGGGCTGAGTCCCTTCTCCAACCCTGGGTCAGGGAGAGCGAAGAGGGCCTCAACCTGGCCATAGCTCCTGCTGCCCTGGGTTCCAGAGCTGAGCCAGGGAGCCCCAGAGGGAGGAGCTGCAGCAGCTCCAAGTCCGTGCTGCTGTCCCAGGAGTAGGGAAGGGACGAGAGGACTCTCCCAGTCAGGGGTCTGGAGATGTCCCACGGCCCCTTCTCTCCTCTCACCCTGAACTCAGTCTCTCTCTGCGGGCTCTCGGAGCCTCTGGCCAGCCCCTTCCTCTTGATCTCATCGTCTTGTCCCTCCCCTCCTCCTGGCCAGTGAGGGGGAAGGATGCCGCCGCGGGTGCCAATGGTGGTGGTGTTGCGATGAGAGGGAGGCGAGGAGCGAGTGATGGGTGGCCTCTCCACCGTGCAGCGGGTGGGGTGGGTGGGCTGGGGCATCACTTGCTCTTGTGCATGTCCTTCAGCCGGCGGAGCTCCTCCAGGAGCTGGGCCCGCGAGCAGCCCTCATCCCCGGTGGGGCCAGGGCCTGGTCCCAGAGCCTCCTGCAGCTCCAGGCAGTGGGTCCTCAGGAAGGGGTTGTAGGAGCGCTCCTCCCCCAGAGTGGACGGGCACTGTGGGCGAGAGAGACCGGATTTGGTGGACCTGATACAGGGAAGCCTGCCCTCACAGCCCAGTCCACCCTGGGTTTCAGGAGTTCTGATCCGAAGGACCAGACATCAAACAGGTCAGAACCCCATGGGGAGGTGCCTGCAGGCCAGGCTCAGCAGAGAAGGCCCCTCCCGGCCCCCTAGCCCTGCACCGCACCGTGCTCCGGCGTTCCATCCGCTGCCGCTGCACCCACTGCATCTTCCTCTCCCGGGCCAGGTTCTCGGGCTCTACCACTCCTGCAAAACCCAGGTTCTCCTCCGCATACTCATGACCTGGCCGGGCGCAGAGCACAGACAGGTTGGTGGTGTGCTCAGAAAGCACCCTCAAACTCCCAGACCCAGGCCCACAGACCCCTGACCACTAGGAGGAGGGCAGCACTTCCAGGAAAACCCCAACCCCGGGACTTACTTGTCTAACTGTGGGCACAAGTCAGCCGTGTGTGAAAAGGCAGAGGTGACTCAGAGGAAAGCCACAGATGTGGAGAGAGGCCTGCATGGAGCCTGCTTCTGCATGGAGCTGGCTTCTGCACGGAGCCAGCCTCTGCACGGAGCCAGCCTCTGCGTGGAGCCCAGCCTCTGGCCCGAGCCAGCCCCTGCGTGGAGCCCAGCCTCCGAGCCTCTGCGTGGAGCCCAGCCTCTGCACAGAGCCAGCCTCTGCGTGGAGCCCAGCCTCTGCGTGGAGCCCAGCCTCTGCACAGAGCCAGCCTCTGCGTGGAGCCCAGCCTCTGCGTGGAGCCCAGCCTCTGCACAGAGCCAGCCTCTGCGTGGAGCCCAGCTTCTGCACAGAGCCAGCCTCTGCATGGAGCCCGGCCTCTGCACGGAGCCAGACCTCTGCATGGAGCTGGCCTCTGCACGGGGCACGGCCTCGGCACAGAGCTGGTCTCTTAACTGTCCAGCTATGTGAGGGTGCCTCTGAGCCCAGTGTTTTCATTTGGCAAGTGGAGAAAACAGTAATGCCACTGAACACAGATGTAGAACACAGCCTGGTACATGAGGTGTGGAATAAAGTACTGTTGAAAGAACAAATGAGGAATGAACGTATGTTCTGACAATTAACAGATTTTTGTGAATTTTTTTTTGTTTTTTAATGTGACAGAGTAGAAAGAGAAAGATGGTGAGAGAGAAGAGGAAAGTAAAAAAGCACCCCGTGGGGAGGATAGCCATGCCACAATTCCTTCTCCTCTTAGGATTTTGGGCAAGCATGCACAAGTACTAGGTGTGTTTTTTAAGACACCAGGATGGGAGTTCAAAGTTGGTCATGTGGGATTCAACGCCTTGACCACCACACCACTGGCTGGCCCTTGTAATTAATTTTTTTTTTTAATTTTGTTATAGGGCATGCAGGCTCTCTGGAGAGAGAGAGATAGAGCGGGAAGGTGAGAAAGCACTCCCTAGGGGAGTTAGCCATGTCACAATCCCTTCTCCTTTGTTCTTCTCTTGGGATTTGGGGCATGCGTGCACACATGTCCAGTGTGTTTTTTAAGCTGCTAGTTAGGGATTTGAACCAAGCAGTTGGCCATGTGAAATCCAGCTTCCTTAATCACCACGCCACTGGCCAGTCATGTGAGTTTTTTCACAAACCAACAAGGCAATGGATACGTGCAGAGTGGATTTACTGACTTCTCCCTGATAAGCTAAGGCCATTCCTTTCTGTTCTGAGCTCCGGCTGTGAACAATGGACATCTATCTCTCTAGGATGCTCTGGGGCCTGTGGGGCTCCCAAGAGGCTGAGGACTAGCAGCAAGGAACACTGGCCTGAAAGCAGCAGGTTACAAAGCCAATACTCCAGAAAGGAGGGAGGCCTGAGCTCTGCCTCCAGGCCTGGAGGTGGCTCCCAGGAGCCACCAGAGGTGGAGCTGTGTCACTTCTAGACTAGGAATGGAGCTGGCCTGGTGTCTGGGGGAGTGAGGGGCTAAGAGAGCCCCAGGCTAAGCATGGGACAGAGGGGGTGTGGAGCGGTGAGGAGAAGTGGGAGGGGCACCTCACCAGGCCACAGCAAGGTATCGTCCCCCAGCCCCAGCACAGTGTCCAGCGAACTCAGCATGGTTTCTGCGGTGCCCTCAAAGGTCCGTCCTGAGTGGGGGTTAAAGGGTACGTTACAAGGTGCAATAACAATACATGGAGGCAGTGGGAACCGGCTTGGGAAGCTCTGCTGGTCACAGCCCTTCAACCATGCCTCTGCCATGCCCACCCCCAGGCATCTACCGCATCATTCCCATTAGAAGCTGGGCTCCATTAGTCCCCTCAGCCCCCTGTCAAGCCCATCGGTGGCCTCCCTTACACACAGTGACCTCTGAATGCAACAGGCTATAGAACCTTCCGGCTCAGCGGGTGTGGGGCTGCGCCTTTCCACGGAGCGAGGCTTTGCCTGTGCTGCCCTTTGGGACTACACGTGGCTTGGGATTTGTCATTTTCCATGGGGACCCCTCCATAGGATTATCCTCTCACTTACGGGTTCTCAACTTTTCTAACCTAGTCCTGCCAGTCACTGTATCAGAGAGCCAGGCTCCACCCAGTGGAGGTGACGCCCTGTCAGGTCTTTACTTAGTTGGATCTTCTCACTCTGTCCATCCCTCATGGGAAGTCTTAAGGATATTTAAAAATAATAATAATAAATAATGGTGGTAACACAGATTTTTGTCAAGTTGGTTTGTCCTAGAACCAAAGTTTTCAGGCTTATATGGGACTGTGGCCCTGGCCTGGGTATCTCCCTCCTCTCCCCACTCTTCCCTCTTTTAGGGGAGACTCACCACAGCCAGAGAGAAAGAGTAGGTCTCCTGAGAAGAGGCAGGAGGGACCCTTGTAGGGTTCCCCATCCAGCAGGTAGACCAGATGGCCTTGTGTGTGGCCAGGAGTGGCCAGAGCCCGGATCTGAAGCCGTCCCACGCTGACCACATCTTGATGACACAGGGGACTGGGAAACAGGGCAATAGGGGAGAGAAGGAACTAGAGCTTGTGCCCAGCATGGGCCCAAGTGGCCAGGTGATTGGCAGGAGGGTGAGCTTCTACACCAGAGAAGGTTCCCAGTGCCCAGACTCTCAGACACAATCCCCTTCCTCTTTGGGGGACTGTGGCTGGATCAGCTGGGGAACAAGTAACGCTAGTCTTCACATGATCTGAGATCTGTTTGCTAAGGTCCAGGAATGGTGTCTGCAAAGACTCAATGGCTGACACCCCGGAAATACTTAACTGAAGGCTGCAGGTGAGGGAAGGGCCTATGGCGGGGCCAACCATCCCTGGGTCAGAGACTTACTGGGTGAGGTAGGGGATGCCATCTTGAGGGCTCCCGTACACACGACAGTCCCGGTGCCGCCGGCTGAGGTCCCGGTTCCCTCCACTGTGGTCCCTGCAAGATGGCAGAGACAGACAGGGGACTTCAAGGGGCAATGGCACCTGAGTGTCTCTCTTCCCCACTGCATCTACAGGCCTTTGAGCCTGGGGCTTATGGCTTCCGGACTGAGCCAACATGTCAGTCCTCTAGGCCTTTGTTCAAGCTATTCCCCTGCCTAGATGACACCAGCCCCCACAACCTCAGCTGGCCAATGCCAAATGACCTTTCTGGACTCTCCCAGCTGCAGTCATCACCCTTTGACACCTGCAAGTGGATCGATCACACTTGTAGCCCCTGTACCCCGTGCCAGCTGCCACCTGAACGTCTGTAACTGTTAGACACTTCTGTGAGGGGCTACCTCCCTGCTGGACTCACAGTCCCTTGGAAGAGATCATGTGTTCTTCACACGCTCACTTGGCATCTATGTGCCCATGGATAAATGGCTGCCCTGCCCTCTCTGGGGCTTCAGAGCCTGATAACAGGAGATGCCTCCCTTCCCCTCCATCTCTGCCAGTGCCGAGTGGCTTCATGAAAAGACAGGTGCCTCCCAATTTGACTTCCTACCTGCTAGACTTCCTGACCCCCAGCCCAGCCCATCCTCACTGGGTTGGGTGCTGGCAAGCCCAGCCAGGGCAAGGGTGGGCCAGGGGAGATCACCTGCACCCACCGCCACCCCTGACCGCAGCCCCCTTACCAGTGCTTGTGGGTGCACAGAATGGCAACCAAGGTAACGCCCTCCTTTTCAATGGAAGCCTAGGGGAGAGAACATACTGAGACGCGGTAGGACCCAGAGGAAGACCCAGGGCAGAGGCCTGGGCATGGGTGCTGGATGAGAGGAGGGGGCGCAGGGAGAGATGAAAGGAGAGGGAGGGGATGAATGAGAGACAGAGCGAGCGAGCGAGCACGCAAGCAGGCAAGCAACAGCTGAGACCAGCGTGGGCACACGGGAGGGGACAGCGAAGGCAGGGCACGGGGCAGGAGGCTCAGAGATGCAGAGCAATGAACGGGAGAGACAGAGCCAGATATTGCGAGAAGGAAGAGGTTCAGAGAGCAGGCCAGAGAGCAGGAGGGCGACAGTCCAGACACTCACTAGACCCAGTCTGGGGACAGCAGCCCTCGCCTCTGTTTCCCCCACGCCTGCACTCCGGGTTCATTCTGCCAAGCCCTAGGTTCAGGCCTCCCCCATGACGCAAGTGCGCCTGCGCACAGAGCCGGCACATCCCACCGCAGGGGTCAGCCCCCCTCCAGCAGGGGGCAGCTGCCAGTCCCACGGGTGAGCCTAGGGATCCCTGCTCCCCACGCTCCCCTCACCTGCACAGCCCGAGGGTCGGAAGGGTCCACAGCCACAGCCAGCCCGGCCTGGGTGTCGATGATGAGGTAGCTGTAGTTGTCTGAGAGGACTGGGATGGGAAGCACCTTCACTCCTAGGGGGCAGAGGTGAGCTGTGGGCGGGTGGTGGGCAGGGAGTCCGGAGGACCGGTATGTAAGGGGGGTTGTGGGAGGGCACCTCCTGGGGGTGCTGCGCAAGGCAGCCAGAGCTCACCGTTGAAGAGGCGGGGCTGGGTTTTGGAGTGGCCTTTGGGGTAGCGATTCCGAGCCCTGCGCAGCTGCTGTCGGTAGAAGAGGTACCCGAGCCAGGTGCGGGTGTACAGGCTGTACCTGGGGGGACAGTCTGCGGTCAGCCCTCCCCGCTCCCTCCTGGTGCTGCAGGCTCACAGCGCCACTCCCGGGCCACCCTCTGGGTCAACCATCACTTACCGTGTGCCTACTGTTTGCTCAGTACTTGGGACAAAATGGAAAGTGAGACAGTCACACCAGGACGTGTGAACTGCAGAATTCACAGAAGAGATTGGAGAGTGAGGGTTGTCATTCAGCTGAACCCCGGAGGGAAGTGACATTTACAGTGAAGAGGAAATAGGAGTTAGGCTGACAGAAGGTGGGCTCAGCTCTCCGGACCAGATTCCTGGGCCTCTCCCCAGTTTACAAGTCAAGTCAGCAGTTCCAGGGTGGGGCCCAGGACTCTTTCTCGCCTTCTCTCTTCCTTTCTTATTTTTTCAGAGAGAAATTTTTGTTACGGGGGCACTTGCAAGAGAGAAAGTGAGAAATCACCCCCTGGGGGATGGCCTTGCTGCAATCCCTTCTCCTCTATTCTCCTCTTGGGACTTTGGGCACTCACGCACATGTGCCCAGTGTGACTTTCAAGGCACTGAGTTGGGGACTTGAACTGTGGTTGGCCATGTGGGAGTCCAGCATCTTAACCACCACGCCTCCTCCTGGTCCTACCAAGTGTGATTGTCAAGCCCTTGAGGCCAGGATTCAAATCATGCAGTCAGCCATGTGGGATTCAGCTCCCTTAACTGCTGTGGGGTTGGATCATGTCCATTTTTCATAGGCCCTCTTGTTTTGGCTTTATTTCTACATCAGTTTCAGTCAACTGGTGCTTTCATTCCTTCAACAACATTTATCGCTCCCCCGTTATTGGCCAGGCACCATGCCCACAGTGAGCAAGGCGAAGTCATCGTCCTCTTGACATTTATAGCCTATTCCAGTGGGCGACACAGGGTAAGAAATATCTTATCAGGTGAAGACAACAAACTAAGATCAGGCCAAAGTACAGAGAATGATGTCAGGTGCTGCTGTGTTAGATTTAGTAGACAAGGAAGGCTCTCTGAGGAGGTGAGATTTCTAAGTAAGGGGACAGGCCCTGTGAGAATCTGCGGGCAGCGTCACCAAGCAGAAAGAATGAAGGGGAAGTATTGCTGCAAAGGCCCCCTGAGCTCAGGAAACGAGCTTCCCGGAGCAGGCTGATTCTGTGCTACTGGAACAGCAGAGCAGGCATAATGGAGTCCCACACGAGAGGACTGGTTGGAACAAACTAAATGTCCACAAAGAGATGAAAGGAATTAATGATAGCTTTATTTTTTCTTTAATTATTTGTTTAATCTCTTATTATTTATTTGTTTATTTGTTTATTTTTGGAGAGGTTTTAGCTATAGGGCGTGGGCGCTCGGCAAGACAGAAAGAGACAGAAAGACAGAAAGCGATGCTCGGCAAGACAGAAAGAGACAGAAAGAAAGCTAGAAATCAGCCCCCTGGGGGGATGGCCACGCCGCAATCCCTTCTCCTCCATTCTCCTCTCAGGATCTTGGGCACGCACACACGTGTGCCCGGAGTGAGTTTTAAGCTGCCTAGTCTGGAACTTGAACTATGGTCAACTATGTGTGAGTCTAACAACAAAACCATTATGCTATCTGCTGGTCCCAAATATGTGATGCTTTTGTGCTGAGAGAGAGAGAGAGAGAGAGAGAGAGAGAGAGAGAGGGAAGAGACAGAAATGCTAAAGAGTCCTGTAGTTCAGGAATAAGATTATTCCTTTACCACCAAATTTCCCTATTGTTGGACACTTAGCTTGCTTGCTTTATTTATTCTTTTAAAGTCAACCAGCAGAAAAATTATTGGTTAAAAAGAAAAAAGGGGGGCCAGCAGGTGGTGTAATGGTTAAGGTGCTGGACTCCCACATGGCTGACCATGGTTCAAGTCCTGGACCTTGTAGCTTGCTTTCTCACTTTCCCTTTCTCTCTGTCTCTCTCTTTTTGGCCAAATAAAAAAAAAATGATGATAATAAATTGAATAAATAATTATTTTTTAAAAAAAGAAAAAGGAAAAGGAAGGGGCCAGCAGGTGGTGTGATGGTTAAAGCACTGGACTCCCACATGGCTGACCATGGTTCAAGTCTGGACCTTATAGCTTGCTTTCTCACCTTCTCTTTCTCTCTCTGGTAAAATAATAATAATAGTAATAATAATAATAATAATAAATTGAATAAATAATTATAAAAAGGAAAAGGAAGGGGCCAGCAGGTGGTGTGATGGTGAAGGCACTGGATCCCACATGGCTGACTGTGCTTTGAATTTCAGACCTGGCAGTTTGCAAAATCATGCCTGGTGTGTGTGTGGGCTCCAGAACCAAGGAGAATGGAGGAGAAGGGACTATGGCATGGCCGTCCCCGCCCAGGAGGTGGTTTTCCATTTTTCCTCTCTTTCTGCCTCTATCTCTGGTGAACGTACACACCTTTATAGCAAAAAGAAAAAGAAAAAAGAAAGAGGTGCAAATGTGAAAAAGAACAGAGAAACTAATTTGAAAATAAATGTAAGTAAATAGATATGTTTAAAAACATATTAAGGGGGGCCTGCAGGCGCCATGGTGGTTGGGGCACTGGACTCCTAGATGGCTGGCCATGGTTCAAGTCCTGGACCTGGCAGCTTGCTTTCTCACTCTCCCTCTCTCTCTCTGGCCAAATTGAAGAATAATAATAAACAAATACAGTTTAATAAATAATTCTTAAATTGGAAAAAAAAAAAAGATATCTTAAAGGTTGTAAAACTGGTCCCAAGTACACCCAAAGTGTCCCTTTAACCATCTGAAGCTTAGTGATAGACTGTGGGGGAGGCAGGTGTCAAACAAAAGGGAATTTCTACCGTCTTAGGAGGGAGTCACTACCCTCCTCACTCACTGTCTCAACAAGTCTTTTCTGAGGCCTGGCACCTTGTACATGCTGGAGATATTGGGGCATATCCATTCTCCAGGGCAACTCAGGAGGTAGTGGGTCTTCCCTGCAGGACCCTCAGCAAAGACCCTGCTTTGCCTGGGCTGGAGAAAGGGCCAAGCTCGGGTGGGCCACATGTTCGCTTCTGGATCACCAGGCCCCCTACAGATTTGAGACCCTAAAGTTGGTGAACCCAGGGGTTCTGGACGAATGGCAGGAGGGCACCAGGAGCCTGAGCTTCCTGCTTCCTTGCCTCTCCCTTACCTGGAATGCTCTTCCTTTTGCTTCTCTATATCTGCCCCTGACCGAAGCCCCCCGCCCCCTAGAAGCCTTCTCTGACCGTCTTAGTCTCTCTTCTCTCACCCTGGTCTGAATACACAACCAACACTAAGAATTTCTAATACACAGGCACACAATCTTACACCAGGATACCCTGGGCCAGTCGCCAGGGTATGATGAGAAAGAGGATATTTGCATAATCTCCAAGTAACTCCCTCATAATATACCCACTAAGTACAAGCCATGGAGAAACCTAGCTGGCCCCACCTAAGGCCAGTGTTCCAAGTTAATCTTACCAGTGACGACGTAAGCGGAGACTTCTAAAAGTTTATGTAAAAGTGGAATTAAGATACAAGTTAATTTTGGTACAAAAAACTTTGAAATCCATGCATTTTTTTCCACAGTACTCATTTTCCATGGACCTTTTTGAAGTCCCGTCTTACAGCCATCAAGTGCCTCTTGACACATGCACCAAGGAGGGCATAATGTCACTTCTGTGGACTTGTGTCAAAAATGCGTAACCAGGGAACCAGAAGTTAGTGTAATGACTATGTCGCTGCACTCCCACGTAGTCAACCGCAGTTCGTGTCCTGGACCCGGTGGCTTAAAACTCACGCCGGGCGCATGTGTGTGTGTGCCCAGGATCCCGAGAGGAGAATGGAGGAGAAGGGATTGCGGCGTGACCATCCCCCCTGGGGGGTGACTTCTCGCTTTCTGTCT